CCCCCCCCCCGCATTTTCTCTTCTTACCTTCGTGTGAAAGAGCCATCGGGATGTGAAATGCTCTCTCTCCTCAAATCTGCAGGCATTAAAATAGTTGTGGTTTAAGTACGTTTTACTAATCACTGATTTTCTGGAAGGAACAAAAAATATCATTTTCAGTGCGTCAGCTAATAAAAAAGAACCTTCTGCAGGAACTGTCTGTGTAACAGATGCTGTCTAAGGAAACACACAGGTTTCCCACTGAATTCACTTGTAACAGCTCACGCGGGCTGCTACGCTGCAGTGCTCTGCGAGGGTCCTCAGGTGTTGACACCTAGGCAGGCTCCATCCAGGCCCCCAGAACTCGTGCGCCTCTTGGTTCACACAGGAAAAGGGATATTTCTACAATAGCAGGACCATGGAATTTTATTAAGAAAAACACTCTCCCACCCCCAGCACATGCTCCCAGGACAAAGAACCTATCTGCCTGCAACTCAGGGTTTCCTGAGATGTGTTTGCTTGTGGCCAGACTATGGAGGGTAGATGGTTCTCAGACAAGGACATGTTTCCCGGCCTGAGCTTCTCCACTGCAGCAGTCTGGTTTCAGTGGGAGGAAGGTGGAGCCCATCCCCCAGCCTCAGCGTCTCTCTCACCCTGCTTCGTTTTTCATGTCAGATCCCCCCTCCCATGGCCCCCAGTGCAATGGAAACTCCACGAGGACCAGGACGGTATCGGTTTCATCTCCTGCTCTGTTCTTGGAGCTGGGCCTGGCACAAAATAGACGTCTTCCTGAGTATTTGTTGAGTGGATGGCTGGATGATGGATTCTTTCAGATGGCCTGTAACATAACATTCCTTATGAGTGTGTTGACTCATAAGGGGAAAAGAGCCACATTTTGGTTCAGGACACCAGATATGTACCCAGAACTTGGAATCTAGAATTTGTATGTGTTTCTTTGTGTACTATTTATTTTTAAATTAAGTTTTGAGGTATTTATAAAGGTACTTTAAGATTGAGAGCCCCCCTATTGCTCAAGAATGAGAGTTTTAGGTCAGAGAACAAATGTATTAAGTTTACAGTTGAATTGAAGACTAATCAGGTAACAAGGGGGGAAAAAGGAAAGAAACTTGAGCATCTCCAAAATGGCCACAGAAGTCCGAAGAGCAATGAAAACTCATATACGACATCGGTTTGCCCCAGACTTGTGCCTCACGGGTCCACAGCCGCAGGCTTCTCAGCTGCAGAGAGCTTGGCCCGACACCCTAGCGTACCGGAGGCATTCTCCGCTCCCCAGAATGGAACTGACCCATATGTACGCGTAGGTCCTTTAGAGTCGACCTCCGGTTAATGAGTTTACTGGCTGAGTCTTTTAAAAGAATGTAAACATAAGTGACTTTTTATTCAAAAATCTATAAAAAGAAAAGGCTCTGTCATGGATGCTGTGGTCCCCACGCCACGTCCCTCGGGCCCACCAATGTCAACTGGTAGACAGTTGCTCCCACTGCACATGGCTGGGCTCACTTCAGGTGCCCGCCTAGGTTTCTGAGAAGTCAGGGGAGGACTCAGACCAAGTGCAGGTGCAGCCAAGAAGTTCATGGGCATTGACACCTCCAGGGCATCCTTCAGCCAGTGGGCGATGGGGATTGGCAGGTAAACACACAGCCTCTCGTTCCTGTCTAGGACACCCATGGGGCGCAACCTCACCGGGATCTCGGGAGCTTCTTTGGTACCAGCTCAGTAACCCACACTGTATCAGCTGGTCTCCCTCCCCTTCCCCAACCCCGTTCCCTCATTTCTAGTTCCTGGGGTCACCTTCCAATTAAACTGCCTGTTCCCAGGTCCTCCTCTCTAGCTCTGGTTTCTTAAACAGGCCCTAAGAAACAATGTCTGAAGTCAGGGCAAAAAGGTTTGTCCCTGGAATCCAGGGCTGACAGAGAAATGACCGACAAGCACCACGCTCTGAACGTGTGATTTAGGAAACAGCCTTTGTAGAAGTGCTTCTTCTCGGCCACTGTCCGTGAGCTGCCTTGAGACCGTTACCCTCCTGATTTCATGCCCTGCCATTTCCTTCTGTTCCGCAGACTCTTCTGGGACGCCCAGGTTCACCAAGTGCCGTTCGCCTGAACTGGAGACGTTTTCATGCCACTGGACAGACGGGGTTCATCACGGTTTCGGGAGCCCGGGACACGTACAGCTGTTCTACATTAGAAGGTGCCGCCTTTGTGCCTCCTGACGTTATCTCCACACACTTTCTGGTTCAAGTGTACCGAGTCTGTGCGGCGGTGGGAGTCGAAACGGTTTTTTCCGATATCTAAATGTTTTCATTCATTCCTTTAGTCAAAGATTATTAAGGGAGCCCTGACTGTGTGCTGGGTACTGTTTTAGGCACTGGAGGTAGGTACAGCAGTGATTACAGACAGATAAAGTCCCTGGCCTCATGGAGGTTCGCCTCCACTGAGTGAGAATAGACAATAAAACATTGCAAAGTAAAATGTCAGCTGGTAATATGGTTTTTTAAAAAAGGTAAAGCCATGCCCTGGCCAGTGCGGCTCAGCGGTAGAGCATCGCCCCCGCACACCAAAGTGTTGCAGGTTCAAGTCCTGGCCAAGGGCAGGTACCTGGGTTGTAGGTTTGATCNAGGGCATCCTTCAGCCAGTGGGCGATGGGGATTGGCAGGTAAACACACAGCCTCTCGTTCCTGTCTAGGACACCCATGGGGCGCAACCTCACCGGGATCTCGGGAGCTTCTTTGGTACCAGCTCAGTAACCCACACTGTATCAGCTGGTCTCCCTCCCCTTCCCCAACCCCGTTCCCTCATTTCTAGTTCCTGGGGTCACCTTCCAATTAAACTGCCTGTTCCCAGGTCCTCCTCTCTAGCTCTGGTTTCTTAAACAGGCCCTAAGAAACAATGTCTGAAGTCAGGGCAAAAAGGTTTGTCCCTGGAATCCAGGGCTGACAGAGAAATGACCGACAAGCACCACGCTCTGAACGTGTGATTTAGGAAACAGCCTTTGTAGAAGTGCTTCTTCTCGGCCACTGTCCGTGAGCTGCCTTGAGACCGTTACCCTCCTGATTTCATGCCCTGCCATTTCCTTCTGTTCCGCAGACTCTTCTGGGACGCCCAGGTTCACCAAGTGCCGTTCGCCTGAACTGGAGACGTTTTCATGCCACTGGACAGACGGGGTTCATCACGGTTTCGGGAGCCCGGGACACGTACAGCTGTTCTACATTAGAAGGTGCCGCCTTTGTGCCTCCTGACGTTATCTCCACACACTTTCTGGTTCAAGTGTACCGAGTCTGTGCGGCGGTGGGAGTCGAAACGGTTTTTTCCGATATCTAAATGTTTTCATTCATTCCTTTAGTCAAAGATTATTAAGGGAGCCCTGACTGTGTGCTGGGTACTGTTTTAGGCACTGGAGGTAGGTACAGCAGTGATTACAGACAGATAAAGTCCCTGGCCTCATGGAGGTTCGCCTCCACTGAGTGAGAATAGACAATAAAACATTGCAAAGTAAAATGTCAGCTGGTAATATGGTTTTTTAAAAAAGGTAAAGCCATGCCCTGGCCAGTGCGGCTCAGCGGTAGAGCATCGCCCCCGCACACCAAAGTGTTGCAGGTTCAAGTCCTGGCCAAGGGCAGGTACCTGGGTTGTAGGTTTGATCCCCAGCCCCGGTTGGGGTGCATGTGGGAGGCAACCAATCAATGTGTCTCTCGCACATCAGTGTTTCTCTCTGTCTCTCTCTCTCTCCCCCTACCCCTCCCTCCCTCCCACTCTGTCTAAAAATCAATGGGGGGAAAATATCCCTGGGTAAGGATTAACCAAAAAAAGAAAAGTAAAGCCAGAAAGAGGAGTGTCAGCACTCTGTGAACACGAGTGTGCATGAGAGTGTCTGAGGGTGAGTGTGAAGGCGTGAGTGCACAGGCGTGTGAGTGCATGAGTGTGCGAGTGGACGTGAAATTATGGGTGAGTGTGCGTGAACATGTGCACACAGAGTTTGGGTGATATTTTAAATGAGGTTATAGGAGGCCTCTCTCTAAGGTGGTGCATCAAATCTGAGACGTAATAAAGTGCAAGAGGCCTATGAACATCTGGGGAAATTGCAAGTGCAAAGGTCCTGAGGCCAGCTTGGCAGGAGGCCAGCACAGATGGCGCAAGGTAGCAGATGGGGACAGTGGCATGAGAAGGGGTCGGAGAGCGACAAGCCGGACTGTGACGAGCCTGGAGGCCATGGGAGGGCTTTGAATTTTCCTTTGTCTGTGGTAGGATGTCATAGGAGTGTTTTGAAAAGATGTAGGTTTTAAAAGACTGTTTTGTTTCTATGTAGAAAATAGACTATGTTCCTGTTAAATTAATTAATTCAATAAGGGACTGTAGTGCTTTTCTATTTTTGCCAGCAATCCTTTAAAATAACAGTGGACAGTGAAACAAAGGTCCCTCAATAGAATCACCACCCAACTCGTTATTTCCTACCCCTTGGCTGACATTATATCCAATGCTATTTACTCCTACATTATTACCTTCATGCTTTTTTAAAAAATTGTTGGGGCCCAAGCATTCCATCATCCCCTCTCTTCCACTCAAACCCCAAGGAAGACCTAAGCAAGATGCAAGTTTAGTGGGACCGGACCCGTTCTCCTAGGCCAGCGTTCGTCGGTACGCGGTGATGCTGTCCACCCCACAGCGGAGCAGGAATGAGAACAGTTGCCCTTAAGACATAAATGATGTTTTATTTTTATTTTTTTCCAATTGGTTACCTGTAGGTGGAAAGCATTTCTTCAGCTCTTTCCTCTGATTTTTATTGATCATCTCTAGCTTTCTCTCCTGTCTCAGGAGATGACTGAGAGTAGCCTTGAGCACTTACCTTGGGGAGAGAGTAGCTGTATAGACGCTCGTCCTGGGGAAGGCAGGCATAGAGTATTTTGTGAGTCCATTTGGATTTTTGTCTAAATGTAGTAGTTTAAAAGTAAATGCTAAATATTTACTTAAAGAAAAATTCAACTTGGGTTAATGAGGGTGGGGGTGGGAGTTGTGTTTGGAAGAAACTCTTCCTGACCCATCGGGGATCAGACGAGCACTTTCAGTTGTTTGCTCTTTGGAGCTAATGGATTGGAGATCATGTAAACAGGGGTTTTGGGACAGTCTCTATGGGGGACAGGGAGCTGACATACCAAAGCTGAGAAACTGGGAAACACACAGAGCTAACCCTCTAGACCAAACCCAGACCTGGTAAGCACTGGCCTACATCCTTAGGACATTTCAGCATTAACTTGAATACCATCAGGTATGCTAAATACATTTGCTGTCCCCCTACTATTATATGAAAGCCTCATTCCCTCGGCTATATCTTGTTAAATCATTCTCTTTAACGTACTCTTACTTAGTTTGAAACTCAAGATAAAATAAACCATACTATAGTTCAATGACCCACCTATTCCTAATGCTTTAAAATCTTTTTCCTACTGTAAATGCACACACACACACACGCAGTTCACCTTGCGTCTCCCCTCTGCCCACTTTTTTTCCATTGGGATGAACCTTCCTCTCAGCCAAGGGTATGCAACCTTTAATAATCTCAACCAGAACTTAAGCAACGATTCCGTCTCGGATCCTGGTGTTTCTGCCATTTGAATTCCAAGCTCTCCCAACAGCTGACGAGCAGCTGTCCCAAGGACCCGCTGATATTGCACAAGTTTCCTCCTGGTGCCAACAGACCAGCCTGAGAAGCAGCTGGGAAGAAGGAAGCATGTGTCTTCCCCAGCTCCTCCTTCCTTCCTCCCGAGCCCTGCTTTCCCCGTAGCCCCCGGGGGGGCTCACAGACCTGGGACCCGGCCTGCCAGCCCCAGCACCTGGGCCTGCACGGGTTCACTCCTGCTGCCCACTTCCTCTGCCACAGATTCCCTGGCTCTGTCTCTCTGACTCGTCAGCCCTCTTCTCAAGCCGATAGCCTAGTGAGTGTAAGCGAGTAAGGAACCATTCCACCTCAGCAACAATTCTAATTTAAGAAAGGTTTTCCCAATTATTTCATTGCCTCCTGCTCCCCTCACCGCATTCAGACCCATACTTCTTTACCTAAATGCCTCTCACTCTGTTCCCTCCTTTCCTTTCCCTACTGCCATCTATTAAACTTGACCCATCCTTCAAGATTGCTAGAAACATCACCTCTACCTTGAAGCCTTCCATGAACACCCAGAGCGCTCATTGCCTCTTATGAACTCTTAGGGAACCTAATGAGCACTGCCTGTGAGCACTTGCCCACCCTCCTTTATAATACAGTTTTTTAATCATGCCCCTGAGGCAAGAGTAATTCTTAGACACACGTGAATCCCTCATCATGCCCGGCACAGGGTGTTACATATAATCAATGGTTATTAAATATCAATGGAATGAGTGCAGGAGACCAAAAGAGCACTGAGATAGTAATTTCTGATTCTTGCTCTAGCCTGAAGGTAAGGACCAAGGCTTATTAATCACCATGTCTGCACAGTGCTAACGCTGGGTGCAGTGCTTATACAGAGCTTGCATAGTGGGACCTCAAGGGTGGCCTGCTGGATTCAGTCAGCCAGCCAGTCAGCCAGTGGGCAAGTCAGCCAAACGGGACTTGGAGGAGCTGGGTCACATTCTACCATGAGTTTGCTCTGTTCCTGCAGGGGGCAGAGAGGGGGGGCTTGAGTCTGGGAGATCGTTTGATTGCTCTGCATTTTTGTTCAGTTCCCCATGGCAGCAGACCAGGGAATTTCCTTTCCCCAAACTCTGACTTCCGTCCACAGTAAGCTCCCTGGCCTCCCGTTTCCATTCAGCACATACCCTGCTGTGGTTTGAAGTCATCTGGGTAAACGGTGCTTTCTGTAGAGCAGGGTAGAGGGGAATATCTCCGTGGTGGGATTTACATGTGAAGACACAGCTCTGGTTCACTCGGTGGTCTCCGTGTGTCCGTCTCTCCTCCATGGTTTGTTCTGTTGTTTGTTTGTTTTTATCTGATCCAAGATCTAGGAAAGGGGAACTTGTTCTTTGTAGAGGAACCCAAAAAAAAAAAACTCATAAGCAAACATGTTGATTCAATTCAGCCGGTTTGTTTCCTCTTTTTTTCTGTATACTATAATTAAACGTCCATTTCTAGCTACAAAAATGGAAAAGAAAAGTGCTTTCTGGGTTTGGAGAGATTTCTAAATTTCTGGGTTCATGCCTTTTGTCTCTTTCAGGGGTAGGGGAGAAGAGGCTAGGGTTTCATGTTTGATGCATAGCACTGGGATGTCCAGCATGTTTGAGATGCTCTCATGGCTCTTCCTATAATTAAAGAAAAAATTGGAAGTACAGGAAGGAGTTCAAGGCATCAGGAAAGCTCTACCAAGCATAGGACATCGTGGGGAGGTAGACACGGGACACAGTAGTTCAGAGAAGGGTGATCGCCGATTTTCCACCACAAGGCCACCTCACCTTAGTGTTAGCCTGGAGAATACCATCAGCATGCCCTGGTTCCTTCCTCCACGGGTTGGAGAAACACCCAGGCCTAAAGACTCACAGTTCTCTGGGAATCTCCATAGTTTGGGAGTTGAACGTCTGTTGTCTTTTAACAAAGGACATTTTTCGGCCTCCGGAAGAGTCAGAACCCTCATTTGTAGAATGAGGGTAATAAGCTCCCTACCAGTGAAGCACCTGGTTTAGGAGCCGGCCTGCTGTGTGTGGTCGGTGGACAGGTGGTCTTACTGTAGGCTTAGGCCAAAGGACCGGACGCCCCCGATCGGCCTGCAGACGCCGACGATGCCTGCAGATGTGCTACTTGGAAGTGGCATCACTAATGTATTTGCTCGTAAATATTTGTGTTCAAGTTCATTGAATCCGCCTGCCAGGCACCTCGCTTTGACTTGCGCTATGGCGTGATTTTGGAGCAATTCACCCCTTTTTGCCCTCCGTTGCAGGAACACTCAAGAATGGACTCAGGAATGGAAAGAATGCCCTGACTATGTCTCTGCGGGAGAAAACAGCTGTTACTTCAATGCGTCGTATACCTCCATCTGGATACCCTACTGTATCAAACTCACTAGCAACGGCGGTACCGTGGATCAAAAGTGCTTCTCTGTCGAGGAAATAGGTAAATCACAGGTTTGTGTTTCACTTGACATGGCTTTAGATTAAGTAAGCGGGAAGGCTGCAGTGTTCAGTGTATTTGTGTGGGAAGACCGTGTCCTTGTGCTCGAGGGGTGGGCAGAAGTCTACTTGGCTGGGTGTGAGATCAGCTGCTGAACGAGAGGGAAAGGGCAGGAGGGACTTAAGTTGGCTCTCACATAAGAGAATCCGGCAGCACGGGCTGTAAAGGGAAGAGTGGGAGCCTGTGGAGTCTTCCTCGAGGTCTTTAAGCTGAACCCCCAAATCGTGCTCTGTGTGCCGTTGCAGGGGCAATCTCACTATAGTCTTAAGACTCTTTCTCTCCTAATCACTCAATATGATTAGTAGAGTCATAGCTACTGAAATATGTTGGCCTTGATCTCTGCAATTGCTCAAATAAAAGCCTAGAATTCCTTCATCACAAAGCACAGTAACGCTGGGGTTTTACATTTACAAAACAGCCCAAATCAGTTTAAAGACATGTTTATAAGATCTCAAGACAAACATTGGAGATGATCATCAGCTCAGTGAGCTAAGCGAAAGATCCAAGCAGATTACCCCTCGCCCGTCATGTGGACACCGGGGAAACAAAACAAAAGAAAACAAACAGCCGTAGTTGGAATGTTCATGTTTAAACTATAATAGTATAAACAGCTGCATAGGAAAAAATCAAAGAAGGACTTTGAGTAGCACGTCGGTGCCTCACATCTCTCCGCGAAAGCCCACTAGTTGCATATTCCTGGAGTGTCCCTCGGATGGGCTGTCCTGCGTGTGGCTTCCTGGGCATCAGCAGGCTGGAGGAGACAGGGAAAGTGGCTAGAAGCTGCAGGCAGGAACAGCTAGGTCCAGGAGGACCTGAGGGAGCAGAGGGAGAGCACTTAACAAGCGGAAAAGAGAACCCAGCCGCACAGCGTAGAGGGGCTGCTGCGTCCACGTCCCGACACCCACAGGGGTAGCTGTTGAGTGGCTAAATGGGTAGTAGTGAGAACACAGGGCCAAGACCCGTATTCTGACCCTGTCTCTGCCAGTCGCCAGCCCTGCCCCTTTCCTGGCTGACTGTCACGATTCAGGCACTGTGCCTGGGTGTGGTGGCTCCAGAATGAGTGAGATACAGTCAAGTCGGGGAGTCAGGCTTGTTGACGAATAACTGAATAAATAATAACTGCAACACAGTGGGTGCTGGACTCCAGGTGTGTGGGAGCATAGCAAGCCAAGGTGGGAGCCAAAGGTGTGAACGATTGGCTGAGGAAGGACTGCACAGAGGTGGCGACCGCCCAGTGACTTCTTCAAGCACCAGGGGGGTTGCCAGGTGTACAAGATGGACTGTGCCTTCCAACAACTGCTGCGTTCCAAAAGTGACAGCACAGGAAGTTCAGACTCAGGAGCAGTCAGGCAGCCTTGGCTGGTCGGCCACAGAAATCAGTAGTGGTCCTGTGTACCCCACAAAGGAGTCTGATTTCATCTTACTGCCCAGGGGTACATTTTAGGATGTTTAAGCAGGGACATGATGTGGGGACAGTAATTGCTAACATTTCCAAAGCATGTTTCATGGGTCAGGTCTAATAATCACGTGAGATAGGGTCTTATCACCCCCATTTTACAGGTGATGAAACTGAGGCCCAAACCAGATAAATGACCAGCCCAGGTCAGACATCTAGAAGGTAGAGCTGAGGTTTGAACGTAGCTGATAGCTCCAAGTCCATGCTCTTAACCTCAGGTTACACCATCCCCCTGGCATGCTCCTAATGTCTCGGGGAAATTCACCTGCTGCAGCGTGGAGGGGAGATCGAGGTAGCACAGACGAGACATTCAGAGGGAGGAGACTTTGTGACAGTCGAGGCAAGATGGTGATAGCACAGTGACATCAGTAGCAGGGAAGGGGGGAGCCGAGTGTGAGAGACAAGGAACTGAGGTGACCCAATGGACCTCTCTGGTCCTAACAGGCAAAACGCAATGGATCTACCCAAGATTGTGCAGTAGATCAGTGGAAACCAAGCAAAACACCATTGCAGGTTCACGTCCAGTTACATGAAAGAAAACACTGACTTGTTGCCACCTGAGAGAGCAGTACAATGCCTTCCTCCGTGGGTCTGAAGAAATGATCACATGTTGCTGGGAAGACAAGAAGTCGGGAGCATCTGCTGAGTGTCAGGAAAGACTGTGCTGGTAGCAACACAGCGATGAGTGAGACGAGGCCCTTGCCCCAGGCCCCAAACAGTTCGGAAGAAAAAAGATTCCTCTGCCCCTAGTTACAAAACAGCCACATGTTTGAATCCCGTGGGTCTTTCTCTCTGTTCCTTAGTTAAAATGAATTCCTTTGCCAAACCCCAGAGCATTAATTCTATCAAAGCTCAAAGAAATGCAAAATGTGGCAGATCTTTAAGAAATGTTACAGATCAGATTTTAGACTCGAAAAGGAATTTTTTTAGGGTCTTTTAAAAACACAGATCATCCTTAAATAAAACGTGGTACTCTCTTATAAAGTGAGAATGTACTGATAGGGATATTGGAAGAATTAAGAGTACAAATAATAAAAGTGTATAAAGTGAAATGGTCTCTTCAGGAAAAGCGTTCCGTTAGTATCGGCCATGTACTCACTCTCCACTGAAACTCCCAGTACAACCAGATCCACCCACGGGCCTCAACTGGACCTTACTGAACATCAGCCTGACCGGGATCCACGCGGATATCCAAGTGCGATGGGAGCCGCCATCCAATGCAGATGTTCAGAAAGGGTGGATCGTCCTGGAGTACGAGCTGCAATACAGAGAGACCAACGAGACCCAGTGGAAAATGGTAAGATGTCGTTACAAAGCCCACTGGAAACCTCTTGAATTTTCTTCTTTTAATTTCCACGCCCCCTCTCACGCATAGACTTCCTTTTGACCTAATACCAAATGCCCATGCTATGTGCTCCATCATTTCTTATTTGAGGAAAACCAATATAATCAGAAAAATACCATCTTGGAGTTCTGTCCAACAGCAGATGCTTACATGGAGCTTAAATGGGAGCCTCTGGAAGGAAAGGAAAACTATGTCCCCAGTCATCTTTGCTGTGCAATTTAACTTTAGAACAAAACTGTATACTTTAGCCACTTAGCCGCCTTTGGGGTTGTGGCTAAACATGGGAAGGGTCATGATCAAGGTCAACAGTGAGCTATGGCTAAATATTCTCCCATGATTTTAGCTGCTACTACTCACAAGAGCTTCATTAAAATAAGTTCTTAAGTGACTCCAGGAGGGGAACAGAGGGAGGGAATTTGCCCTTTAGAGGTTTCAGAAGGATATTTTGTTAAGTACCTTAGGGGACAATCACGCTAAGAGGTTTGTAAGTCTGCAAGGAGCATGGTACAGGTTGACCTCTGAACTCCTCACTTCCTCGCCAAGTGTGTGGGAACTGGGCACTTAGATAAATTCCACATGGCACACAACAAGAAGAAAAACAGGATTATCATGCTGCTCCCAATATAACTAATTCTAAATCAGTCTAACCACAGCCTTGGCCCTGGCCAAGGCCAGTGGTTTCTGGCCTCGCATCAGTCATGCCCAGCGGCTGGCACAGCCTCACTCCAGACTCCTCTGACACCAGACTCTGTCCATTCAGTGCACTGCTGAAGAAGCGGCTGATTCTGTCACTTGAGGAAAGCTAAATTTGAAGCAGCTTGAACAGTTAAATATTGGGCTTTGAGAGTCTGTTTTCAGCATCATTTTAATTTAGATATCTATTCTGTGGCTTGGTATAAAAAAAGCCTGTTTGGATGCTGAGTCAGACGAGACTTTCTAAATTCAAGCTGGTCAAACATGTATTCAGCCGCCAGGGGTTGAAATAACCACTGTGCACCAGGCAGCGTGCTGGGCACCCCAGGGCAGCCGTTCTCAAAGTGTGAGCCATGAACCCTGGAGGGCCAAGACTGTTTTCATAATAATACTAAAATGTCATTTCCTTTTTTCAGTGTTTAGAGTTGCCCTGATGGTACAAAGAGAATGGTCTGGGAAACAGGCCACCTCAGCACAAACCAAGGCAGTAAATACCTACCGGTACTGCTGGTCACTGAATTCCTCACCACCGAGCGCTCGCAGGGGGGAAGGAGGGAGCGGGTTTCACATAAGAGCGCCCTTGATGAAGCTGTGAAAATCATTAATTTTGTTACAGCTCGACCTTTGAGTGCATAGCTTTTTAATATTATGTGTGCCACGTGGAAAGTCCACATAAAGCAATTTTGTTGCCTTCATGGCCCTGATGGTCTTGAAAAGGAGCATTTACCCAGCTGGGTTGCCAGCCGAACTCGCTGCTTCCTGCAGGGAACAGCCTCTGGAGCTCCAGTTTTACTTGAAAGAAAGACCCATAACCTCATAAATAGTTACTTATATTTGAGTTGGCAAATATTTGGCAAACATTTTTTGAAAAAAAATGAAGTAAGCTCATCATTTTTTTAAAAAACCAATTGGCGGTATTTATTGCCAATGGAAAAATTTGAGCTTTCAAAGGAAAATTAGAATTTTGGAAACTTTCTCATGTAACCATGAACTTGATAGCTTCCCTGTCTATGAAGACACTCCTGATGAGATCAATGGCGATACTATCAGCAAAAGTTGGTTTTTTTATGTTGCATAATAAAATATGTATACATTTATAAAGTCTGCATACCCAGTGAGCTAATATTTTCCATATGATCAATGCACAATGTAACCCAAATCTGGCTGGGGAAATGATCCAGTCAGAGATCTTGAGGGAATGGTGGGTTTTAATGTAACAGTGTGCAAAAGATTCATCGATGCGGTTTCAAATTCTACATTACAACTAACCTTTCAGAAAATGCCACTTGTTGAGTTTGGGTATTGGTGTGAAAGAGTAGCCACAATTTGAAAAAGTTGTTAAAACATCTGTCCTGTTCCTCACTGTATATGCGAGACCAGATTTTGTCCATACGCTTCAACCAAAGCAGCACATCCTACCAGGTTTAGTTCAGAAGCATGTGTAAAAATACAGGCACCTCCTACTAAGCCAGATCTTAAAGAGATTTGCAAAAATGTAAAACAAAGCCACTCCCTTCACTATAATTGTATTGTTTTGGAAAGTACAATAATTTTTATAAAAATACATTATGTTACCGTAAAATCAATTTATTATTTTAATTTTGAAATTAGCATTATTAAATTTCTCAGTTTCCATTTCTAATGTGATAAATAGTGATAGATATAACCCAAATCAACCCAATCTTTACAATTCGCAATCATTTTTAAGGGTGTCAAAGAATCCAGAGACTAAAACGTTTGGTGAACTAGTAAAAGCCAAGAAGTAAATCAGAGCTTTAGAATTCATTCATTTTCTGATCATAGTTTCAAGCCTGAAAGACCCTGGCACCTGGTTGTGTCTCAGCCGTGCACAGTCAGGTAACTCACACCCTGAGCTTCTGAGCAAGGTGCCTGGAGCATGGGACTCAGTCACTGACCGTTCAGAGCTGCCTCCCAACTTGGCCTTGTCGCATTCATTGTACCTGCTAAAAACTCACATTAGATAGTTCGAAGGGCTTAGTTCAAATTTCCTTACCTCTTCTGAGTGAAGTTATATATTCATAGTAACTTTGGTCATTTGCAAGAGTCTTGGAGAGACAAGTCGTGAATGTCAAAGGGCCTATCATAAGAATTGGCCTCTCTCTGGAAGAAACTCACAGTCTAATTGTTATGAGCATGAATGTCATTAGCATAAAAAGAAGAGAGGTTTGTCAGTAGAAGGAGGGAAAGCTAGTGTCTGTTGCCTCAGTGTTACCACTTGACAATATTGAATTTGGTGGTGGTGTGTCTGTTTTAAAATTAAATACATTTTTAATATAAAAGTAATACTAATGATCACGTAGTTGCTTACACTATTTATCCGCTAAACCAAGTTAAGAATTTATGGTTTTTTTCAGGACTTAATGGGTGGCATAGAATTATCTACAGCGTATGGACCACCCACTGTATACCTGAAGATAATAAATGCATTGTTTGCCCCCAGGGGATCTGCAGTCTAATACAGAAACCTGAGCAGGGAAACATGGGAAGTAATATATGATGTGTATTATCTGGCAGGATGGAGTAGGGGGAAGTGCCAGGAAAGACTTCTTAGAATTTCAGCAATACGCACACTAAGGGTTGGCCGAGAACAGGCATTCCCTCTCAGGCAGGTGGCGGTAGGAGGTGTGTGAGCAAATGTGAGTGTGGTGTGGAGGGTGGAGGGAAGACGGGGTCATGGGTCGAACCACTGAGAGCCCCTTTCTGGTTTTGTTATTAGTAAAACCTGTAAAGAAATAACATCGATGACAATAACAGAGAAATTAGGGCTTTTGGAATTAAAACATTGGCTTTTAAAATATTTCAAGAAAAATAATTAGTTTAATAAGCAGAATTCTACCTTTAAAAACCACTCTAGGCATGCAGATCTCCCATAGATTAAGAAGTGTCTTTAAACGATGCAAAATTACCATCCCATGCACACAGGGGGCAGAATAAGAGATACTTTGTGAGGAGAAACCAACTGAGGTGAAAGGGGACTTTGTTTTAGAAACGGAAGGCCCAGCTTCTGACTTAGCAAAACAAATTAGGAGAAGATTTATGTGAAAGATCTATGCTCCTGAAAAAGTGAGTGTTCCCGGTTTTCATGAACAGGAACAACGTGTTCTACCAGAAAACATACGAAAAGCACATAGTGAGCACTTAGTTTGAATATTTGACTTAGAGGAAAACATGCTCATTAGCTGAGTCTACTTCTTTGATAAGGACATGTTCTCTGGAAGGTAAAAGAATATGCTGGCCTTAAGGGTTGTGGGACCATTAATTACCAAGCACTCCTGTGACTCTTCTCTGCAGATTTTGAATAACAGACTATTTTGAGGTGGCTTGGAGCCTTCTAGAACAAGCAGATTATGTGGGTAGTTGCTTCCAATAGAATTACCTGGAAGTTCAATTAAGACAAATATGATTTTCCTAGGACCCTTTTAAATTCTCTGATTATATGGATAATTACCCCGAATTTCCCAAGGATGACTATAATTTGTTTTGGGGTGAAAATCCATTATTGTGTGTTTTTCTGTTCTTATGTCTTCATACAAAATTGTGGTACGCCAAAGGGTAGGCAACAGATCTGTAGACTTCATAGCTCTGTCATTTTCCATAATAACTTTATTATGCTTTGATCTTAGAATACTTGACTGCCCAATTCAAACCTATAGCTGCATTTCTGTACACATCTGTCAGATATCCGGGTTTACACCAAAATAGGTTTGAGGCCTGCTGTCCATTTAACAGATGATTCTTTGTAAAGTTATTTGCCTGACCTTTCTTTAAGTAGCAAGCCCCCCAGTGCATTCTCAAGTTTTGCCTGCCTCACAGAGCTCGTTTTGAACACAGATGCAGGAGCCCCTGCAGAGCTCATCGTGGGGGGCTGACTCTGACCCCCACGTGCTGTGTTTTGTCTTGAAAGATGGACCCTGTGCTGTCAACATCCGTCCCAGTGTACTCGCTGAGGCTCGACAAACAGTACGAGGTTCGCGTGCGCTCCAGGCAGCGGAACTCGGACAAATACGGCGAGTTCAGCGAGGTCCTCGTCGTCTCGCTCCCCCAGATGAGCCCGCTGGCGTGTGACGAAGGTAAAGGTGGAATATGGGCTCTCGAGCGCACTCTCGGCGGGTGTTATCCACTGAGAAGCGGGGCGGCTTAGCGCTCGAATTATTTCACTCAGGGAAAGCCCTGGGTAGGTGCAAGCCATCGAGGGGAAGCTCAACAATGGGGGTCATTTCTAGGTATCAGCATTCCAGGTGACTCTTCATATGTTCTTTAATTCTAAAATATGCAACAGTGGGTTGTTTGCATTTATAATCAGGAAAAAAATTTTTTTAATGCATAATGAAGAAATTCTGCATCTGTAAGGATGGGTGTGGCATCTAAGAGGAAGGCGAATACTGAGCCAGCGTAGGCAGTCGGACGCAGGTGCTGATTGGCTTTAGAGAGTTCGGGCCTGGCTTTTACCTGGCGGAGGCTCAGTAAGGAGTGTGCCAGCTGTGCCCAAGACTGACATGGGCCATTTGAAGGTCCTGTACAAGAGAGAGACAGAGATAATTCAAGTTTAAAGACATGAAACCTGAGAATTCATGTTAAAGGATTAAAGTGTTTGAATGCAGAAATTAGGAAGGCTGCTTAACAATGCATATTAAGTGTATAAAATATTATCACTGGCAAATGAGAACTGGCTACAGCTCATCTCCTTTAAGGACACGGCTTACGGGGCTGTGTGAGGAGCTGAGGTTTGTTATGAAACCATCGCAGGCCACAGAGAAGTGAAATTTATATTCCTGCACTTACAGTACAGACAGAATTCATGATGATACTAAATAACACTTGAGTCGAAAATGTCTATTAACTCTACTTTTTTTCTAAGCTCTACTTAACAGGCTTGTTGTTTCAGACAATTTGATATAATGAAATTCTGGTTTCAAGAGTACACTTGTCACACTCCCTTTAAGCTTATTGTGATGGCATTTAATTCACTTAACATAGGCTTTTTTTAACTGATTTTTTTCTTCCATGTTAAAAAAAAAACAAAAAAACAAGTACCAGCTTTATGTTATGTTCCTGAACATGTCATTGATATAAAACGATAAATGCCACCAGATGCAAATGGCATTCTCTCCCCCACTGGTTCTTTGTATTGCCCGTAACATCTCCCTTGGGGATTTTAATAACTGAACAAGGAAATTAAAATAAGGAAAGAATACTGCAGTATGAAGGCCTAATTTTAATGAAGCAGCGTTAGGTAAACTCCACCTGTCCTTTCTAATTAAAACGCTGTGACCCTCTGCCAGTGTGTGGGGGGGGGTGGCACTGGGAACCAGCTGCAAGGCCCTGGTTTTCAGGAATAACAGAGAAGTTGTACAGACTGATTCCCCCAAGTCTGCCTCGGACAGAGGTCACCAAGCTGAGGGAGGGAGCTGGGCCACTGATCATCTCTGTCCCAGGAGTTTTCCAAAGCTATAAAGTAGTAGGCCCTGCACGTCTAAAACGTCTTCGCCATGATTCAAAAATAAAAACCCTGCCTCGTCCTCCTGCTGATGCTCGGCCTGGAGAATAAAAGCTCTAGGCCCAGCTTTTAAAAAGAAACCCGTGACATTATTTCCGTGTCAGCCAGCAGCGCTGCCGTCTGGAGCTCTTTCTGCATGAGATGTGCACAGCAAGTTTCTTCACGTAGACGTGGACTGTGCTTAAGCTGTGCGCTGTTCGTTTATTTTGATTTTTTTAATGTGGAAGGATTTGAAGAAGTGTGCTTGGCGCAGAAAGTGCTTCTAAGCTGTTGCATTCTATGTCAGTGGTTATCAGTGAAATCGCAGATTTTACTAGATGCATACAAATTAGGGGATATTTTTATGTGGGGGAAAAAAGAGTGAAATGTCAACTTCAACTCTGCACAGTCCTGTGAGTGAGACATTGTCCTCCTGTATTTCAGATTTCCGGTTTCCGTGGTTCTTAATTATTATCTTTGGAATGTTTGGGCTGATCGTGATATTTTTACTCATGTTTTCTAAACAGGAAAGGTAGGTGTGAAGTAGTCTACCTTCATGTTTTTGCCAGTTGTTTGGATTTCCCTGTGTGTTTCCGTTTGTTATTTGGTGTTTTCTTTTGCAAACCATGAGTGAAGCCTGTAACTAACCCAGGAAAACGTCATGTCCAGTTGTGCCCTTACCACCCTGATGTGTGCGTCAGTGAGAGCTCCATGCCTGGGTCCTCCCTGGGGCCTCGCATGGGACACTGAGAGGCTACGGACTGTTCAGCTCGGCCTGTGCGCCTCCTTAACACGGCTGTTTCCGCAGAGCTGCCTCCTCACCTCAGAGTCCTGAGCACGTTGACACATTCATTCGGGGACCATAGGTAGCTCTGTGCCTTTGGCTGAGCTTGACTCTGTCCTAACACGCAAGCAAACCAGGCACCTGGGCGAATCAATCTACTGTACCCTTTAGACTTCCTAGCGTGGCAGTTTCAAGCAATTCCAAGTTTTGTTTAAGTTATTTGGATACTGATGCTTTGCTATTTCAACTGCATTTGTCAACACAACTAAAATTCTTTCTAAGCTTGAAGAGATTCCTTTCTGCATTCTCTTGCAGTTAAAGGACTTGGGTTCCAGGTATTACCCTGTCACTCTGTTTTATCTTGTTTGAGTCCCTTAACCTCTCGGGGCCTCCATGTTCTCATGAGTAATTATGTTCGATTATATGACCATTAAATTTCCCTTGAGTTGTAAGATCTGTAATTCTGTTTTTCTTCCTGAAAGAAACTCAATACAGACTACAAGAAATTTTAATACAATATATAGGGGGAAAATATTAGTCCTGATGGCCGGTTTTCTTACACTTAGAATATTTTTAAAGTCCCATGGGTCCATCTTGCCCCTTCACCTAGAACTAGGGTCACCAGCACCCCCAGAGTGCCTGGGAGTTGCCTGGGTTTAGCACCGAACGTTCCATGTCCCGGGAAATCTGAGTTGCAGGCAAACCGATAGTTGGTCCCCTCGCCTAGAACAGAGGACGAGTTCTCCAGCTGAAGCCGAGAGGCATCGACACATCCAAACAGGGTCTATGGGAATATACTGGAAAAGCTTTCTAATCTGGTTTTTGATGTTGTACAGCACTTGTCAACATCTGAAGAGAACTGTGGTAGAAGGAAGGATCCTCAGGATCTGGAGTTCTAGAGAGCCAAGCGCCCTAAGCCTCCGGTGAATGCAGGAAGGGCTCTTGTTAAGACAGTGTCATCTCCAGTTTTATGAAGTCAGCCAGTGGGAGAGCACATTCCCTCTGCAGAAGTTCATTTTGCACCCAACTTCCTAGCAACATTTCCATTTTACAAACACAACTATTACTTCTTTGGTGAATAATTAGTAAAAAAAAAAAAAAAAAAAAATTTAGAACTTTAAGTAATTCATATATTTAGTATTAACAACAACAGAGGAGCCAGATTATTCTGTTGATTAACTTGAATGTATTGCTCTGTACAGTTGAAGGGCTAGTTTATATGTATCTGCAGCTGATAAAACCACGATGTATATGAAGTAATTTCTTCTCAACATTAGCTGCCGATTTTGAGTCGTTGGGAAAGCTAAATAAATTTGTTACGTAGTTTAAATATATTAGCTAATAATATTTCAAAGAAAACACAGTACTCTCAAGAAATGGGATTTCAAAACATATTTATTAACCTCTGTCCAAAGAGCATTTTCTAGGAATAATATAGCTCTTAACTATAAAACTTGGTCAAAATCACCAAATCATAACAGTTCCAGAAATCTTTTTTTGTACCTCCAAATTTCCTGTGCCAAAGTAAGTTCTTTATAGAAAAGAATTAACTGTTTCCTTTCATTTGCCCATAAAAATCCTTATCATTTCCTAAATGTCCATGTTTTAATGGAAGCAGGAAATGGTAGACCATTTGTCAGCAGGCGCGGAGGGAACATGTGGTTCTAACAATTAAAATGGACATGCCCGGCCAGGCGTGGCTCAGCGGTTGAGCATCGGCCTAGGATCCAGGAGATCAGGGTTCGATTCCCCGTCAGGGCACATGCCTGAGTTGCGGGCTAGCTGATCAATGACTCTCTCATCATTGGTGTTTCTATCTCTCCCTCTCCTTTCCTCTCTCTGAAATTAATAAAGATATATTTATTTAAAAAAAATAAAATTAAATAAAATGGGCGTCAGAACGAGGTGCTGTGTCCGTCTTCCCAGAACCTGGGGCTGTGAAGGGCTTCAGGTCCTCCGTGTCTTTGCTTTGCTAGAAGTTTTGAGTCCACTATCCAAGCCACTCCTTTTGTTAAATCCAGGTAACTGAGTCAACTCTAGCAAAAACTTGTATTGTAATTTGGATTTAAATAAAATGATAGCAAAGTCACAGACACGGTTTCACGCCGAGGCTGTCTTTATCCCAGACTCTGTGGACCCCACCATGTGACTCACCCCCAGCCTCCAGCTCTTCCTAATCGGGAACGAAAGAAAGGAATCGGCATAAAGCAGGGCAAATGGAAAAAAGAGCTCTGCTGCAGACCCTGTTTTGTTATTGGATGTTGTTTTGATTTTGAAGCAAAGATTTTGCTACAAAGTGTTTACAAAACAGGGAATTTTCACACAGAAATTCAGATTTCCAGATTATCCTTAAAAACTGAAAGATCTAGTGAAACTGGGTTGGTGGGACCCATGGCAACATACGCAAGGCAGGGGCCAGCTGTCCCATTGGGAAGGGCGTGGGCCCTCTGGTTTGTCACCATCTCCATCCCTCCCTGTGGCATTGCAGCTGTCTTGTTTCATTCACGTGCATGACCTTCGTGGGCCCCAGAGGCCATGGGACTGGGCACCGTGGTATAAAGCCAACCACAACCCTAGAAAGCTAACTACCCACGTGTGCTTCCGTGGGTCATCCTCTTGATAAAAGAGAGGCATGCATAAAAATCAAGCACTAGACATTTGGGGATCTTTGCTTCCTATGATTGGGGTTATGTTACATTTTTGTATGTTTGAACATTGAAAATATTCATTTAGAAATAGGTTAGGTAAAAAAAGCAATCGAAATATTCAGAAAATGGGCTCCCCATTAAATAGACTGCCACTCACATGGAGTGGAATATCGGCTGATACCCAAAAGTGAGGTACCATCCCTGCCCCATCGTGACATCTCTGACACTTAGGGCTTTTTTGTTTTAACAATAAAATGAGTTGGTTGGAATTTTTAATCTCTGAGCTTTTTCCTAGAGCTACAGTGTTGATTTTAAAACAAGCTCTAGTTACACTAGTAAGAAAATAGATAAATGATCTATTTAAATTTAAATGTTTGTTGAGCGTCTCCTATGTGCCAGGGATTATTCTAAGTGCTGGTGATTCAGTGAGGCACAAAACAAGCAGCACAGACATTGACATGAATTATGGTCAAAAAATAATCTAAATTTTTGGAACAAAATTTAAATTTATCATAGAATTGTGTATATAAATCCATACTGATTGGCTAGAAATAGTTCAGATTTAATCTGTTGCATCTGAAATGAACCCTGTAGGGGACACCATGGTTAATGAGATCATCTTATATAATTTTATAATTAATGTGAGCTGTGTGGTGCAGACTTACCCAGCCCACCCTAATTTGGCTCCATGTGGATTGGCGCCCCTCCCTCCCTCC